CTCTGCCTCCCAAGTGCTGGGATTAAAGGCGTGCACCACCATGCCCGGCCCGTTTTTGAATTTTTTAAAGTACATTTTAGTGTGTGTGTGTGTGTGTGTGTGTGTGTGTGTGTGTGTGTGTGTGCTATAGCACAAATGTGGAGATCAGAGACAACTTTCTTGAGTGAGTTTTCTCCTTTTGCCAAATAGGGGCCTCACGATCAAATTCAGGTCATCAGGCTTGACAGCAAGTCACCTGTTATGCCACCTTGCTGGCCCCGGCTGTGGGCGTTCCTTTGTTAGGAGTCTTCTCATTACTGCTTCAGTCATATTGCTTATTGCAGATCTATATGAACTGTTTAAATCCTTTTGGTTTATTTTTATAGGTCAGATGTGTCTATACATGTATCCATTTCCTCTTGATTCTTTAAGTATACCCTAGTAATCCTCTGAATGACATTGCTGTCTGTTGCAAGCTTCTCTTTTCAGCTCTAAATATAATATAATTAATATAATATAAATAATTTGGGTTTTCTCTCTCCTCGGCTAATTCATCTTGGGTTTCCCAATCTTGTTTATCTTGTTTTATCAAATTTTTTGTATTGTTCTTTTGTTTATTTGTTTCCATTTATTTGGGGTTGGGGGAGGAGATAAGGTTTTGCTATGTGGCTCTGATTGGCCTGGAACTTACTATAGACCAGGCTGGCCTTAAACCCGCTTCAGCCTCTCAGGCCTGGGATGATAGGCCTGTTATACCATGTCTGCCTTCCCCATTTCATTAATTTCTGCCCTGATCTTTATTATTTCTTGTGGTCACCACCAGCAGGGGCCGCTCCTTCCTTCTCAAGGGCGCCAAGGCTGCTCCTCCGCTCGCCCTGGGCTGAGGCCACTCTTCTGCTCACCTGGTGCTGAAGCAGCTTTTCTGTTTGCCCTGTGCTGCCTCCTGGGCTGAGGCCGCTCTTCTGCTCACCTGGTGCTGAAGCAGCTTTTCTGTTTGCCCTGTGCTGCCTCCTGTCATCACTGCTTCTGCCAGGTCCCGGACCCCAGGGCTGGTGAGGAGACTGTCAGCAGAGCCACATTCAGACACGGGAGGCCAGGTTCAGTGACACAGGTCTGCTTTAATGCAGGAAGGCACAAGCTTATATAGGGATAGTGGCCCAATCACAGCACAGCAAGTAGGATACCTCATTAGCATAACAGGTTTAGCATCTTATCACAGTACAGCAAGGATACCTTATTAGCATCATCCTATTAGCATAACAGACTTAACGTCCTATCACAGAAGAGAGGGTAGGATACCTCATTAGCATACTGGGTTTCAGATTACAGAACCTGTATTCCTGGAAACCACGTGACCTTGACAGTTGCAACATCACCCTAGGCTCAAGCCTGTCTCCCACAACTTCTGTCTGCTGATTTGAGTTTGGCTTGTTCTTGTTTTAGCTAAGAACTTGAAGTGCATCAGTAGGTTATTTGAGATTTCTCTGACTTTATCAAACTAGGTTCTCACTATGTAGCACGTAGCACTAACTGACCTGGAACTTGCTATATAGACCAGGCTGGCCTTAAACTCACAGAGATCAATCTGTCTGCCTCCAGAGTGCTGGATTAAAGGTGTATGCCACCACTCCCAGATCCCTCTGATTTTTAATACTTTTTTTTTCTTTAAAGACAAGGGTTTTACTATGTAGCCCATGCTGGCTTAGAACTCCTTATGTAGACAGAGATTTGCCTGTCTCTGCTTTCCTAGTACTTGGATTAACAGTATGTGCTGCCATACCCATCTGCTCTGGGTTTTTATTTTATTTTGTTTAATATTTTTATTTAATTTATTTTATTTTTATGTGTATGAGTGTTATGCCTGCATGTAAGTCCACCCATGTCATGCAGTGCCCACAGAAGTCAGAAGAGTGCATCAGATACCCTGGAACTACAATTACAGTTATTAAGAGCAATGTGGGTGCTGGGATTCAAACTGGATCCTCTGCAAAAGTAGTCAGTGCTCTTAACTGCTGAGCCATCTCT